AATTGTTATCTGTGCTGGAGCTTAATTATATGGTCATGGCTTGCTGACTGCGCGCCAAGGCGTCGGTTTAACTGGCTGCGGACAACGGCGTACGCACGCTGTCACCTCACGACAAAGGGGAAGCAAAAACAACTGCGGGGCAAAACATACATCTGCGCCGGGAAAATCTCTCTCTCTTGACGGGCTAAAAGGCGTGGCTTGGGAGATGGCCAACGGACGGGAATACCTGAGTCCGCGTGGTCAGTACTCTGTCTGTGCGCGTATATGGGATGACTGCCTGGAGAAGATAGAGTCGGACTTACTGGCTATTTCATAATATGACAGTCTCACTGAGGTGCGATTCCACTTGCCCTTCGCGAAAATTTGGTGTCTTTTGTGGACATCCGGTCGTGTGTGGCACCCATGAACGGGAGGTTTAGGATTGTAAGCCCGTCTCCAGTCCTCCTGACATTGACTTGCCAGGGAGCTCCGATGGGTGAAAAATGAGGGAGTATGGGTATGACTGGCTGAAGATGGCTAATAAGCCATAAATAACCATTCCAGTCTCAATTATCTTTGCCAACATATACTATCTGCCCATGATACCAGCTGTTACGGATGTCAAGGCTTCTGTCGAGACCCAAGGCAGAGCGGGATAGATGAGTTCCGTTATAGGTCAGGTGAACGTTTGTCAACTGTTGTCATTCTCCCCTGACCTAACCTGATAAGACAACCACCTCGTGGCTCAATGGTTAGGGCTTTTGACTCTGCTCAAAAAGGTCTCGAGTTCGATCCTCGGGTGAGGCATAACTTGGGTCTGGGTGTGACTGGCTGACGACGGTCAATAAGCCAGAAATGACCATTCCAGTCTCCCTTGTCTTTGCCGGCAATATTATCACTCATACAGTGCCCACTCTATTGGGCACATGCCGCACAGCGTCGTTCATGAAGATTAAAATGTCCGGATTAATTGGAGCATACCCCTATACCAAGAAGTGAAACTGAAAAATGTCGAGGAAGACCGAAATGTTCATTTTTTGGTTTTTAGTGACCGTCGTCAGTCTGCGTCTACTAATTCGAAGTGGACCCTAGGTCATTTAGCACATAGGTCAAACACTCTATCTACAGGGTGTCCTTAAATGTTTGACATCCTCTGAGGCACACATTAAGTCGGTATTCGAGTTCATGCCGAACACTCGCTGCAACATCCCTGGTGCAACGGTCTTCAGACTATGTCTGATTGTCTCCTTTGGTCGTTTCACACATGAAGGAAGCGGCCAGTTCGCACCACAGAAAGAAATCCCATGGTCGAGCCATGTGATAGTGAGAGCCATTTCGATGGCAAGTTTTCACCATCAGCATCATGTCTGAAGTTCCTCATAGTGACCTCCTCGCGCCACGAATTTCCAATGCATTCGAATCGCATCGTGTTGAAAAATGAACGTCACGAAACAGTGACGAGGCTGCGATAGCAAGCATCCCGGGGCCACCCACACTGCTATGAGACGATGACACCTTGCGTCCTCAGGCCTCCCAACAAAACGCGAGCCACGGACGATGGGACGACATGAACTAATTGTCGGACCCCTTCTTACGCCTCTCTCCCCACCCATCACAGCTCTGGTCCACAATTAAGACCAAAATCTGACCCCTTTGATCCATTTACACCTCTTCCCCATTTCCCCCTAATTATTGCTGATTGGTTTCTTAAACTTTCGGTAACTCTACCCTCCCTTATATAATTTTCTTGCCTGATGATGAATTAGTCGAAAACGTTCGTTCGCTTAACTTTACTTCCTGAATGCTTACATGGGTATCATCGCTGTATTGTATTAGAGAACATCCTATTTTTAAAATAGTCAGAAGTTGAATGTCAAGTTTCAAGGCTTTTTACGGATAACCCGTCAGAATGCACGGAGAAAAGTTGTATCGATACGAACGCTCGCTGTCATAAGTAAATGGGATTTTGAAAGTTTATCAAGCCTTCTCTTGACAAGACCTCGTTTTGACTTCATGCATATATCAGGACTTCGCCATCGAAAAATGATTCCCAACCTTGCAGATGTACAGTGGGATGTGGTTCTGACAGCCATGGTTGACAGTTGCATTACTCGAGGAACGTACGACAACATCGAATTTTTTGTTTAAATTTGCCCTCATAGGGCAGAGAATTCATGGTAATTTCAGAACAACACCCTAGAGGCTGTTATCAGCCTCCCCAGGAGACTACCGCACGGGCTAATTCCCAGCTTTGTTGGCGAACATTTTGACACCATTTTTTTTTCTTTTCATCTGCTCCTCTCTAGTGGTGGCCAACTTCGACGGACGACTGGGTTACTCTTCTCCTGGTGCTGAGGGGACTTGTGAGACCTCGGGTTTCAATTCCAGTCTCAGCACATGGAACGCCGTCGTCTCCATGCCGAACACCGCTGTCACCAGTCTCGATGGCGCGACCGTGACAACGGCGACAACGGAGGCGCACACCGGGGTAAGAACCACTATGTGAGGAGGCACCTTAGGCTCTCCCCCCT